TATTTTCCAAGAGCTTGGTTTGGATAATGTATTCCACATGTATATTAATAGCAATAGCACTTAAATTTATATACTGCTTTATAGTGCTTTACAGCCCTCTCAAAGCAGTTTACAGAGTCAGCATATTGTCCCCAACAATTTGGGTCCTCATTTTACCCACCTCTGAAGGATGGAAGGCTGAGTCAACCTTGAGCCTGGTGGGATTCGATCTGCCAAATTGCAGTAGGAGTAGCTTGCAGTACTGCACTCTAACCACTGCACCACTGAGGCTCCTTGTATATTAACATATATTAATGTATACTAATGTATATTAACCTTGTTAAGGGTAATCAGGTTATATGCATCATCACCTTTGAAAGAACTTGAAAAACTTAAATTAGGAATTTGTTTCAGGTTCTAGGGTAGATGAGAAATAGTACGAACTCCAGTAGTATGAATCAAAGGGTTAAAGCTAAAATGTAGTACTGCTATTGGAAGCATGCAATGCGTATTTCTACTTCCCTGACTATCAAAAATATAGCTGATTACACTGTTCTCTCCATTGTCTAGTCATTTCCTATGTTCCCCTAGAAATTCATTTGTCTTATACAGAGAGTTTTTCCCTAATTCACTGATGAAAATGTTCTACTGAATCAAAAGCATTTTGCAAATGAAAGAAGTTCTTTTGTTTGATGGAAACAAGCATGGATCTAAAAGAAGATATTTCTTCATCCAGGGTTTTAGGGTAATTTTTCTGAATGAGACTTTTTCAGTAAAAACCACAGATAGCTAACACTGATCAAGTTCAGTGTTGGTCCATTTTTAGATATGCATTTTGTGCAATGCTGATATGGTATGATAGTTTATTTCACATGAAAGTTTATATTTGAGAGTCTTATTTATTTTGAAAAGTTTAACTTCTCTAATGCAATAGAGATAGTTTGGATTTAATTTTCTTTTCACAGTCCTGTTTTGTGAAATTTGTTTTCCTTTTGCTCTTTCAGTTGTTCAGTAAATTCTTCTGAACTAAGTTATCATGTGCCTTTTTTTTCCTTCTGTTCAATCATGTCCAATTTTCAGAGACTGCCTGGGCAAGTTCCTACTGTTTTCCTGAAAGGGTTCTTCAGAAGTGGTTTCCCATTGCCTCTTTGCTAGGACTGAGAGAATAACTGGTCCAAGGTCACCCAGGTAGCTTTGTGCCTAAGGTGAGACTAGAACTCCTAGTCTCCTGGGTTCTAGCCTGGTGCCTTAACTATTATACCAAACTGGCTCTCGTGCCTGATTTATTCCTACGGAAATGAAGCTTTTATTTCCCAAAATATCACAATAGTTTAGGAAAAATAATTTGCAATATAAATTAAATTTTTTATCTTACAGCCTAAGTCAGTCAAATAGATTGCTTCCCATTAGTCTGGTTACATTTTTGGCATGCTGCATCAAACCAATTAAGATTTATTTTTATGTAAAACTTTAGCCATTTGTTAATTCATTTCTTTGTTTACTGCTAAGTCTGTAACAAATATTTGACTATAATATAATAGTTAAATAGGGCTACAATAGTATATTTAAATGTAAATTAAATGTAAACATGTCCAGTCATGTTCAGCTAGGAAGTCATGCTCATTTCCCTTTCTTAGCTGAAGGAGCCAACATTGTCTGAAGATATTTCTGTGGTCATGTGGCCAGCATGACTATATGTGAAGCACATGGAACACTATTACCTTCCCACCAAAGTGGTACCTATTTATCTACTTGCATGTGCATGTTTTTGAACTGCTAAATGGGCATGAACTGGGGAAAGTAATAGGAATTCATGGCAATTGTGTCTTGAACCTGGGCTGTCAGCTTTCTAGCTTTAACTACTGAGTCATCGCCACCCCCTAAATATAAATTAAGGGTATGTTATTGAACACCCTGGCTTAACCTCATGGAGTCAGGTATATTTGGGCACTGCCTCAAGTTATAATGACAGCAGGCTCTAAAAGAAGGATGGGGATAATTTCAGTACCAAATTCAGTAATTTTTGGATGCAACTAGACCGGGGGTTTTTTGTCCAGATTAGTGGCTATTAAAGTTTTCTCCCAAATGACTCCATGGAGAAGTTTGAATCGCTGAGGTTAAAATTATGCTGGTAAACACAAGCAATTATCAAATAGTTATTGATAAACTGAGAGACTTGAGATGTAATTCAATGGGAAGTACTAAATCAAATGGAATTATAATTAACAGGCCTCTACAGCAGGGGTGTCAAACTCGGGGCTGGTGGACCGGATGCGTCACGCCCATCCCCGGTTTAGCGAAGTGGGGGAAAGTCGAGAAACATCATGATGACGTGACGCCACGAATTTTAGTTTAGTTTACTTTATTGTCATTGCACCTTGTATAACGAAATCAAACACCATCTTCAGTGCACATCATGACCATGAAAATAAACACAAACACACATCCTTCACACATTGAATCGGGAACCCCCGACACCACACCAACACTGCACTATACAGCAGAATTCAAAAGAGCTACTACGCTGGGATAGAAGCTGTTTTTCAGCTGATTTGTCCTTGTTTTTATTATCTTATACCGTCTGCCAGATGGTAATAGTTCAAAAAAAGGGTTCCCAGGATGAGATGGATCTTTGAGAATGTTTTGAACTTTCTTAAGGCAGCGGGAGTTATAAAGCTCTTCCAAAGAGGGGAGAGGGCAACCAATGATCTTCTGGGCAATGACATTAACCCTCTGGAGTGCTTTCCTATCTGCCACTGTGCAATTGGCAAACCATATAGAGGTACAGTATGTTAAAATGCTCTCTATGGTGCAGCGGTAGAAGATCACCAGCAGTTTCTCACTCAGTTATTTTCTGAGAAGAATTTGACACCCCTGCTCTCTACAGTGTTGGAATTGAAGAAGGTGCTTCCTAATGCACAAGTTGCCCTTATCAGCAGCTCTTTTCTACAGTATCAGGTTACAACTATGGACAGTAGTCTTGTTGCAACAGGAAAAGGTACAGATGCTTTAAAAATAGG